ATTGCAGAGCACAGGCTCCGGACGCGCAGGCTCAGCGGCCATGGCTCACGGGCCCAGCCGCTCCGCGGCATGTGGGATCCTCCCGGACCGGGGCACGAACCCACGTCCCCTGCACCGGCAGGCGGACTCCCAACCAACCACTGCGCAGGGAAGCCCCCCAAATGCTCATTTTCTCTTCAAATCATGTCTTCCTCAGGGAAGCCTTTTTGACAAAGTCAGATCTCTTTTACAGATGTGTATAGTGCTGTGTACCTCCCTCCAAAGCAGTTATCACGATTGAAATTTCACGTTTATGTGAGTGTTTGACTAATGCCTGCTTTCCTGGAGACAACTCTAAACTTCGTAAGGGAAGGAATATTTTGTTCATGTTTGTATTCCTTGCATTTGACACATTCCCTACATTTACTGAGTTTGTGTGTTTTGAATGTATGAAATAATAATAAATGAATGAATAAGTTTCATTTATAGTTCTGAGAAATAGAGCAAATGGAATATATAATTAGTAAATAAAATAATCTTGCTTCTCTTTACAATGTTAGAGGATAAATATCATTTTTTTAAGTCTTTTAGTTTTTCTGGCAGAAATTTCAGCTACAAATTAAATGAATAGATCTATTGAAGGGTCTCATATCTCATACCTCTGCCTGGTCAGTACAGTGCAAAATTAGTCATTCTAGGTGTAGGTGCCTGAGAATTCAGTGTTCTTGGGAGAGGGGAGATAAGCACCTTAACATACTCAGACGACTGAAGTTTTAGGTCCAAGAGAATGATGCTTCTATTTTCTCCAAAGCTGCTTTTGAGCTGAGACTCTCTTTTTAGGCTTGAAATTTCTGGAGAGCCTTGGCTAGAAGTATATGGAGTAAGAGAAAGTAATTATTTAGCCCTAGAAAATACTGATCAACCTTTGGAAAAACTTGGCATATGACACGTAGGATAGAATCAGAAGTTTACTGATATAATTGATCACTGTACTTTGACATTAATTCAGATTTTATACCTTCTAAAATAATTAAGGAGTTAAATGCATTTCATATGGAAGGTTTTAATCTATTGTGGTTGAGACAGAAACTCTGAGCTTTTAATAATTTCCGAGATAAATTCTGGTATGTATCACTTGAAGAAATACACAACAGTTTTTCTCCTAAAATTGGAATTGTTTCTTTGAAGGATCCTCACCTCTCCTGTATTTATCTATGTACAGTAAAATTCACACTTTTAGGTTTAGTCGTACCAGTTTGGACAAAATGACCGCCGCCACCACAAGCAAGAGATGGAATGTTTTCATCATCACAAGTTCCTTCACGGCCCTTTGAGAGCAGTCCTCTACTTTTCCACAGCCTCTGGCAACCACTGATCTAATTTGTCTCATATAAATGGAATCATACAGTATACAGTATGCAGCCTTTTGTGACTAACAACTTTCACTTAGCATAAAGCTTTTGAGATTCATCAGTATTATTGCATATATATCAAGAGTTCTTTTTGATTGCTGGATTTCTGGGTAGTAGTATTTCACTGTTTGGTGTACCACAATTTGTTTATCCATTCACCAGGTGATGGACATTTGGATTGTTTCCAGATTTTGATGATTATGGTTAAGCTGCTATAAAGATTTGTGTATAAGCCTTTGTGTAGACATACGTTTTCCTTTCTCTTAAGTAAATAGTTAGGAATGGAATTGCAGATTCTTGTGGGAAGAAACTGCCAAACTGTTTTCCAGAGAGACTATACCATTGTGCATTCCACTGGCAATGTATTACAGGTCCAGTTGCAGCAGTTCCTTGATAGCACTTGGTAGTTTTCTTTTTTCCTTTCACTATTTATATTGGTGCATAGTGGTGTTTCATTGTGGTCTTAACTTGCAGTTCCCTAATAGCTGATGATGTTGAACATCTTTTCTTGTGCTCTTTTGCCACCTGTATCGCTGTTTTGGTAAAGCAACAGTTCAAACCTTTTGCCCATTGTATTGGATTAGGATTTTTAAAAATTGTATTTGGAGAGTTCTCTATATGGTCTGGATATAAGTAATTATCAGATACGTACTTTGTAAATATTTTCTCCCAATATGTGACTTGTTTTTTATTTTGTTAACTGTCTTTTGAAGAGCAGATTTTAATTATAAAGTCCAACTTATCAATCTTTTTAAATGATTTGTGCATTTTATTGTTACCATGTAAGGAATCTCTGCATAACTCAAGGTCTCAAAGATGTTTGCCTCTTTCTCCTCCTTTCTCCCTACACCTCCTGCTTTCTCTGTACCGCTCCCCCAAATACACACACATCCACTGCATTTCATCTTCAGTTTTAGAATCTAATTGTGCTGCCTTGGAGAAATTAAATAGGAATGAGTACAGAGTTATAAAGATTTACATTTAAGTGTTCTGGGCTGTAAGCATTGAAAAAATTAACAATCAGCAGATTTTAGACAACACAAAACTACATTTGAATCCCAGCTGTTGCACTGGCAGTTAGACTGCTTGCTTTGCCAGTGACCAAAAGAGGTAAGCCTTTCATGTAAAGTGACTTGAAATATATACATATATAATATGTATCTCGCTTCTCTGGAGGGAACTGTTGGTCCATGACACTGTGCATTATAATGATTTTGCTCTTCCCCTCACCCTAGTCACCACAGATGTCAGTTGTTGCTCACTGCATGTGACAGATATTGAGTAAGTATGATTTTGAGGCAAGAATATGACAGTAGCATCCCTGTCCTCACTGTGCAGTCAGGAAGTGTTGGTTTGATGAAAGGAGGCCAATAGGCAAGAGATCAAAGTCCCCAGAGAGATGAACAGAAATAATACTTTACATTTATAAGTATTACTTGGTATTTTGGGGTGCTTTTCAGGTTGCTGTTTAGCCACCTTGTGAAGTAGGAAAGAACTATTGTATCTTTTTCATAAATAAACACTCTGGCCTGCCCTGGATTGTTTAGGTAGAGACATCTCTACTGCCCACCGTGGAACATGCTACATAGAACTGCCCTTGTAAGAAGCTGCTATGCTGCCCATCAGCCCAGCCCTTCAGAGCTTCTGCTCATTGGCTTTCACCTGTGCCAAGTGTGTGTTTCCTCCATCCACTCCCCTGAATGCACTTGGCTCATCTATCTCCTGATCAGCAGTGACACAGACCTTTGAGCCTCAGTGTCAGCGGCTCAGTGAGATGACTCCTTACCTCTCTGAGGTCCCTCGGACTGCTCCAGAGCTCCCCCAGATGAGTGCCGTATGTGTCAGAAGTGTTTCTGGTCTAGCTATCCCAAAGGACAGCTCCTCCAGTCATTTTCTCATGATATTTTAACAGATTGGGGGTAGGGGGGTTGGATAGAAACTAAACATCAGGGAAGTCTGTTAAATTACTGTCAGAGCTAAGGCTCAGATCTTTCGATATACCCTTTTCTTTTCTGTTACACTTTCCATGAGTCTTGTTTTTGAACGGCTGGTGACTAGCATTTTTAGAATGGGATTCAGTGGGACAGAGGGGTAAGAATCATTCCAATTAAACTGCTCTAGAAAAGCTACTAGGAGAACTCATATAAATCCTTGGACCCTGGGAACTGAATGTGAGTGGTTAAAATGGACTGGGAATTACTGGTTTCTTAAACTCCTGTGGCAGTTAATGGCTTAGCTTTTGCTTTAGTGTTTAATACAGCAATTGAATAGAAGGCAGTTAAGCCCCATGTGTTTGATGGATATAAGATAGTAGCTCACTGTTTTAATTTGAATTTTCCTCATTGTAATGAATCGAGCACCTTTTCACTTGTTTATTGGCTATTCGGGTTTCCTTTCTGCAAAGTGCTTGTTTAGTCCTTTACCCATTTTTCTATTGGATTGTGTATATTGATTTGTAGGAGTTATTTGCATGTTCTTGTTACTATTTTTATATATTTTACAAGTATTCTTTCAAGTCTGATATTAAAACTTATTCTTCATAGTAAAATTTCCTATTCATATTGAATTACTCGTTGTTTCTTTTTTAGGTTCTGAATTTTTAGGTTAATCTTTTTTCTTTTTCTTTCTATAGGTTATGAACGTGATTTCTGATGAAACTGGATTGGAATAATTTTCATGATCTTTGTATATTTATATATATATATATATTTTAAAATTTTGCATTTGACTTAAAGTGCCATGAGAAAATTTGCATATTGCAAGGTGGTCCTAGCCACCTCCTTGATTTGGGTACTCTTGGATATGTTCCTGCTGCTTTACTTCAGTGAATGCAACAAATGTGATGAAAAAAAAGAGAGAGGACTTCCTGCTGGGGATGGTGAGTGACATTTTATAACAGTGGACCTGTTTTGATATATATGTCACTTGTTTGTACTAACTAATTTGGAAACTATAAAATTTTAACATTTTTAGATTAATAGTAATCCCTGGCTTCCTATATATGATGATCATATTTCCATCAGTTCTCCAGTAGGTTCTTCTAGCAGTTAAAAGTATTAAAGTATCCTGTATAGAATTGCTAAATTCAATTTGTGTGTTCAATGTTAAATGTAGTTAATTTTCTGGAAGTTATATTACCAAATACTGTAGGGAATCTCATAGCTGGAACTACCAAAATTGTACAGGAGATTAGTCTAGTGTCATAATGCTGAGTGGAGCGTTAAAATTGCATTATCAAGTATGAGAGAGAGTTCTCCAGCCTTCCCATCTCAGTCCTAAGGGAAGAAGTCATTTTAGGTAGATGTGGTCTGGTGAGTTTGTTTTGTTAATGCTGTAGATAGCTCCAGTTAGCACTTTTACGGAGAGCTTATGAAAAGATCAGGCTATAAAATCTGGGCTGCAGTGAGAACACTGCAGTATCTGATATGGAAAAGAAAGGAAACACAACTATGAAGGACCTAGTTTGGAAGACTGACATTTTTGACAGAGGACACCTGAAAAATTCAGTTTTAGACTCTCTGTGTTTAAACCAAAAAAACAAATGCTGCCTTTTATTTTTTTTAAAACAAAATGAAAATGACTTTGCATTGTGAATCAGTAATTCAGCTATTCTGCGCTCTGAACTCTCTGTGATTAGTTATAGAATATCTGGCTAAACAGTAATTCTGTTTTTAGGAATTATTTGTGAATGATTACTGTTTCATTTGAATATGTAGCCACATTTAAATATCTTGCACTTTTATAATGAAAGCACCTGATCCCTTAAAATTTACAATCTAAAATTATATATTTGTGTTGGTAGGTGTGCCTACTTATTGTAATTTTTACAGATGGGATTGTGTAACCATTTCTCTCTATTTCATGGGAAATCTGCCTAAAATTAGGCTCAGTTGCTAACACTGGACTTTAGTAATACCTAGGCTAACCCCTGACTTTTTAATTTTCACCTTCCCCATAATTTTTTTTGCCTATTAATTTGTTGACTTTCCTGGTTTCCTTTATGGCCCTGCTGTTTAGTAAGTTTGTCGGGTGACAAGAGCTATAACTCTGTCAACATTTAAATCAAATCAAAGGTATTGCCATTCACCAGTAAGAAACTAGCATAATTCTTTTCCCAAATGGAACAGATTAACTTTCCCCTCACTCCACCTTAATTCGTTACCATTTATAGTGGGAGCTCATGGTGTTCTGTCTTAAATGCAAAGGCATGAAAAGTAAGAAAGACTGGGACCTCTGTAGTAGGTGAAGACACACTTAGTGAATGTTTTTTAAACTCTGATATGTGCTGGGCAGTGTGCTACGTGCTACTGACATACACTTCAACAATACAAAAAAGTTCCTCCCTTTGGGGAATCCCAATCCAACAGGAGAGAAAGAATATGGTAAAATAGTGATATGATAGATAGCATACTAGAGATGTGCATGAGAGCAGGAGGAAGGAACACCGTGGGGCATCTGAGAAGGTGCAGCAAGGAAGTGTAACGCTCAAGCTGTAGTATCAGGGTGAACAGGTGTTTGTTAGGTTTGATGGGTGAGGGGAATACCTTCCAAGCAAAGGAGAGAAGCATGTGCAAGATAAGCAAGTGAGAGACAGAGTTGATGGATAGGAGAATGTGAGGAAAGAGCATGGGACGAAGCTGGGAGGTTAGCAGAGGCCACATCACAGGAGGCCTTTTATGACATGCTAAGGGTTTTGGACTAAATCCTGTAGGTGAGGCATGACATTGAAGGATTTTTTTGGCTGCGTCAGGTCTTAGTTGCGGCACGCAGGATCTTTTGTTGCGGCGCACGGGCTTCTCTCCATTTGTGGTGCGCAGGCTCCAAGGCACGTGGGCTCTGTAGTTTGTGGCATGCAAGCTCTCTAGTTGAGGCCCGCGAGCTCAGTAGTTGTGGTGTGCGGGCTTAGTTGCCTTGCAGTATGTGGGAATCTTAGTTCCCTGACCAGGGATCGAACCCTTGTCGCCTGCATTGTAAGGCAGATTGTTTACCACTGGACCACCAAGGAAGTCCCACTGAAGGATTTTAAACAAGGAAATCAGTAACCTGATGGGATCCAGACTTTCAGAAGGAAGTTTGGTGGTCACGTGGCTGATGTATTGGCTTGGTGTTTAAAAGCCGAAGTTCCTTCAGTTTTTAAATAAAAATAAAAGACACATTTTTCATTTTCACCAAGAGCTTTTTTGAACAACATATTCACAGTTTTGTACCACTACCTTCTGCCATTTTTCAGGCAACTTCATAATTCCATCTTCCCAAAACTTTTTATCTTTTTGAGCAAAGAACTCTTTCAGGTGCCTTTTACAGTCTTCCAGGGGATTGAAATTTTTTCCATTAAGAGACTTTTGTAAAGACCGAAATAGATGGAAATCTGAAGAGGCGCAATTGGTGAATATGGCGGGTGAATCAGAACTTCCCAGCCAAGCTGTAAAAGTTTTTGCCTGGTCATCAGAGAAACGTGGTTTTGCGTTAATCCTGATGGAAAATCATGCATTTTCTTTTGACTAATTCTGGACCCTTTTCATCGAATGCTGCTTTCACTTGGTCTAATTGGGAGCAGTACTTGTTGGAATTAATCATTTGGTTTCTGGAAGGGGCTCATAATAGAGGACTCCCTTCCAATCCCACCATATACAGAGCATCACCTTCTTTGGATGAAGACCAGCCTTCGGTGTGATTGGTGGTGGTTCATTCACTTGCCCCATGATCTCTTCCATTCCACATTATTGTACAGTATCCACTTTTCATCGCTTGTCACAATTTGTTTTAAAAGCGGAACGTTTCATTACATTTCAGCAGAGAATCTCATGCGGAAATACAGTCAAGAAGTTTTTTTTTCACTTAATTTACATGGAACCCAAACATCAAAGCAATTTACATAACCAAGCTGGTGCAAATGATTTCAGCGCTTGATTTGGATATTTTGAGTATGTTGGCTGTCTTCCATGTGATACAACTTTGATTGTTCTCAATTAATGTCTCAATTTGATCCTTATCAACTTCAACTGGTCTCCCTGACCTTGGAGCATCGTCCAGCAAAAAGTCTCCAGCACAAAACTTTGCAGACCACTTTTGACACGTTCAATCAGTCACAGCACCTTCTCCATACACTGCACAAATATTTTTTTGTGTGTTTCAGTTGCATTTTTACCTTTCTTGTAATAATAAAGCATAATATGCCGAAAATGTTGCTTTTATTTCTTCCGTCTTCAATATTAAAATGGCTACACAAGAATTCACAGATTTTGATTTTTTTTTTTAATGCATGACATATGACAGCTGTCACAATACAATCTAACAAAAATGTTTCAAATGAAGTTAAAGACAACTAAGCACTACTAGAGCCATCGTATGGGAAAAACCAAACAAACTTTTTGGCCAACCCAATACTAGAAGGGAATGAGATGGCAGAGACTGGTTGTGAGGGCATTGGGAAGGTTTGGAGAAGTTCTTGGGGCCTACACTAAAATGACACTGGAGATGGAGAGGAAATAAAATATATGAGAAGTTTGTAAATAGTGGCGTTTACATAGCATGGGGAGTCACTGAATGTAGGTAATAACGGAAAGTGAAAAGTCTCAGGTGATTCTCAGGTCTTCCTCTTTGGATGAATTGATACGAGGTGGGCCCCCCAGAGGCGGAGTGGCTTTGGTGAGAAGGCAGAAGGATGAGTTGCGTTTGGAGTGTTTAACGTTGGGGTGTTGGGAGGGATGTTCTGCAGCAGAGGGTGGCTGGGGTAGAGCATGTGGGCGGCAGTGTGGGCTCCAGCAGTGTGTGGATGTTGGAAGAGACAGGCCAGTGTTGGAGAGGATCATGGAGGGTCAGCAAAGGGAAATAAGGCTTCTGGAAGTCAGAGTAGGGGGAGAAGCCAGAGGGAGTGGGGTCATGGAAATCCAGGAGTGATGTTTGTTCAGAGATTTTACCTGAGATGAAGAAGTGGTTCTGATGTGTTTCCCAGCAGGGGGTTTCTTGTGACCCTAGCAAGTGCCATTTCAGTGCCAGTGGATTTGATATTACTGATGTGTAGCTTATCCTTTTAGGAAGCTTCCACACAAAGAGATAGTACAGTAGTTTAAAAGAAAGGAATGGAGCCAAAGTTGGTTTTCTATGAATGTATGTATTTTTTATGTATGTTGAGGGAGAGGTTTAAAATATAAAGTAATGAAGTAATACTTGAAAGAGCCAATTCTCAGCAGATGAGACAGTGTGGTGTCAACCACAAGAAAAGGATTATCCTTGAAGAGGATTCTAAGGTTAATACAGTTTTGGAAAACCACTAGTAGCATGAGCATCAAGGAAAAGGAGTAGCTTTTATACAAAGTACAGAAGTACAAAGTAAAGGAGAAATGGTCTGAAAGTAACAATGTGGAGCTATGAGAGAGCATCGTTACCTCCTGGGAGACAGAGAATGAAAGTTGTTGAGGGTTGTGAGGTTAATGGGCTCGGGGGAAGAGCTGGATTTAAGTCTGGTAGATGGGGCCCCTGTTGAGACAAGACGATGTATTGATAGAAGCTTTATAATGGCCTGGGGGCATCAGGGTGTTGAGTGTGACAGACTGAGAAGGCTGTGAGCAGTGGAAGGATGAGAGAAGCACTGAGCAGTAAGCCAAGAGGTGAGTTAATAGCTGAAGGGAGAGACTTGGAGAGGCCAGCAGTTCCAGATGGGGCCCTAGAGCATCCATTTTTTCAAACTGTGTTCCATGTAGCCTTTCCCTCTTGAAGGGAAAGAGTGAGGAAATGATTTAGGGAAGGGGGACAATTGATGCTAAGCAAGAACAGTTTGAAAAATCTGCTCTGATGTGAAGTTGCAGTGCAGTGGGCGCTGAGAGGTCTCAAGTAGCATCAGAGGCCTAAGGTTGTTCAGGCTCTCGACATAAGGCT